AAAGGGTTAGATTAAATGGCCCTGGACATCCCTTTCAGCTCTAAATCTATGATAGTACAGGTTCTTTCATCCCATATAAAAGAAGTGGGATATTCAATACTAAACAGCCAGAGTACAGTATATTCCATTCTGAGAAACTGGATGTAGACCCCACTGGGACTTTCGAGAACAAGAAAGCTCACAGGAACCCGAAAGCTCAGTTTTCTGTTTGTTTGGTTGTTTGTTTTATTTTTTATTTTTGTTTCTTTTTAATTCATGCTGCACCATCATAGGAGGCCAATCACCTACTGGTTTCCTGGAGGGTTGTTTTGTTTTGTTTTGTTTTGTTTTTCCCTTTTGGTTAGGTTACCACTGAATACCCAGGATTATTCACCAAAGAACTGGGGTCTTTTCTGGAAGAGACAGGATTAATCCAGGCAATCTCACTCTACCACCACTTCCCACAGTCAGCTTCAGCTCCCAGTGTGGACAATGCTGAGAACTACATTGAAAAGTGGTTTGTCTGCATCTAAGTAATTGCTATAATCTTGTTAGAATGGAAATATTTTATTGACCTCCCCCTTTGGACACAAACCAGCACTCATTGAGCCTCAGGGCCTGAAGATGTCAAACATCGAAATTCACAGATTGTTTTTCAGTGCTGACTATGCCTTCTTCATCATGTCTCTGATACTCAAATTGAAAAATGCTGAGGTCTGATTTCACATCTATAATTGATAACATATTGTTTGCCTTCTCATCAGATGGGGAGAGGGCCAGAGGGAGGGAGAGAATTTGGAACTCAACAATTAACAAAGAACATTTGTAAAATTTTCTAAATTAAAAAATAAAGTATGCTGAGGCTCTCCCCAGCACCACTTTACAAATCTTTTTGTTTTTAGGGAGGTCAGATTCGCAATCTATTCAGGAAATGGCTGCATCTGCTGGCCATTTCTCTTCCCAGAGGGTGGGGGTCAGAGGGTTTAATTCTGCTGGCTAGCACAGCCTGAGGCTGGAGAGGCCATTTCCAGGGTCGGGGGCAAGAAGTACTACCCAACACATATTAGGAAATACAGTCAACATGGCACTTGGTTTTGCTGACCCCGCCCCCCCCCCAACCCACTTTCTTAGTTTCAAGGGAAGACTTGGTGGGCAGGGGGCAGGAATTTTTTAAAACGCATCAATTAAAAAATCTAAAATCTGAAAAAAAGAATAATTGTCATTTATGTAGTTCTTTAAAGTTCACAATGTTGTACCAAGCATATCATCTCTCTCATTTGAATTTCACAACTACCTGAGGGCTATTACTGGCCCCCATTTTACAGATGGGAGGCAGCATGTCAGAGGATTGGACATGGAGCCTGGAAAGATAATTTGAAACCTCCCTCAGACATTTATCAGCTATGTGAACCTGGGCAAGTGACTTAACCTCTCCAAGGCTCAGTCTTCTCATCTGTAGAATGGGAATAATAATCACTTCTACATCATGAGGTCTTTGTGAAGACCCAATTAGATAACATAGTTAAAGAGTTATATAAATATTAGCTATTATTACAGATGAGGAAACTGAGGCTCTGAAAGGTTAGGTCACTTTCCCAAGGTCCCAAAGCTAGTGAATGTCAGAAGCCAGTTTTGAACCCAGGTCTTCCTGACTCCACATCTAGCATACCATACACCACATCCCCTTGCCTCTCAAGATTATCTCCTTCTCATGTTATCTCCTCCACATTATCTCCTTCTCCAAAGTCCTTCAAAAACTCATTTCTTCCTACCATATCATCTAACCTCCTCTCCCTGACCTTCAAGGCTTATAGTGGCTCTCTGTTTCCTGCTCCACTCAACTCAGACTTTTCCTGGCATTTTAATCCCTCTATCACTGTCCCCTCTCACTCTCTCCAATTTAAATTCTTTTGATCCCTAACCACCAAACTTTGGCTCTGGTCCAGGTAACTTGCTGACAGGCTCAAGTATTTTGGGGGAATCAAATTAGATGAAATTCAATAAGGATAAATGTAAAGTCTTACATTTGGGTCCAAAAACAATTTCACAAGAAAGGGATGGGAAGGCCTGGTTAGACAGTATTGGGTCTGGGAAAGACCTGAGGAGTTTAGTGAACTGCAAACTCTACATGAGTCAGCAGGGTGATGCCTCAATGTCCAAAAAGATGATGCAAGCTTGGGCTGCTAATGCAAGAGACTCCTAGTTTTCACAGAGAAGGAGGAGCAGTGCCTCTGGACACTGCTGTGATCAGACCTCCTCTGAGTAATGTGTTCAGCCCTGCTGATAAGGTGATAAGTAGAAGACCCTTTCCAGGGGAGAGTGGCTCAGGTGGTGAATTGCCTCATCAAATGGGGGCGAGTAGAAGGAACCGAAGATGTTTAATCTGGAGAAGGCTGGGCATATCAGATGGATAGATCTTTTCAAGTACTTAATGTAAAGGAAGAACTAGCTTTGTTCTGCCTTGTTTCGCCCAGAGGGCAAAGCTAGAAGCAATGGTGGAAAGTTGTTCAGGTACCAATTTAGGGTAGAGGGAAAGAAAAGCTCCCTAACAAGAGACACCCAAAAATGGAGTGGGTAGAATCCCGCCTTCTCACTCCTTGGAAGTCTGATAGATCGAGGCTCAATAACCATTTGTTAGAGAAGGGTTTCCTATCAGATATGAGGTATATGACTGCCGAGGGCCCTCCCAGCTCTAAGAATTCTGGATTCTGTAAACCAAGGCTCACTATACCACCCTTCTTACTAGTCCCTGGCCAGGGTCATTGTCTGGGCTCTCCTCTTTTTAGTCTAGAAAGATCTGATCTCTCCTTTCCCAAAAATGCCTTCAAGGTCCACTCAAAGGAAGGGCTGGATCTGGAGTCTAAGAACCTGAGTTCAAGGGTCATGAGCAGCTGCTAATCTATGGGAGAGAGGGCTAAACTTAGATTCAGGAAGATGTGGGTTCAAATCCTGCCTCAGGCACTAGCTGTGAGGCCCTGGGCAAGGCTCTTAATCTCTCAGGATTCAGTTTCTGAATGTGTAAAATGTGAATGTTCTTAACATCTATTGTTGCGAGAAATCAAATGAGGTAATATGTCAAGGCGTGAAGGGGAAATAAATGTCAGCTCTGATTAACTTCTCTGGGCTTCCTGCAAAATGGTGGGTTTGGAATCCATGTCAACTCGAAACCCGGGATCTCCCTTTTTCCAAGGTCCCTCCCTCACCAACCCTCCACCACCCAGCATTACCTTATCAACGATGGCGCCTTTTGTAAACGGTGCTTTGCAATGCTTCTTCCATTCCTTTGTCTCCCCTAGCAGATGGCTTCTGCTCCCTAATTATTCCTGTGTCCCCTCTGCCCCACCCCGACCCCCACCGCTCTACAGGTCTCCCCCGGGCAGGAACAGAGGACTCGAATGCACTTCGATTGACTGGCCTTTCATCTGGACGTTTTTCTGCCCTGGGGATGGAGCATCTGAAGCCTGGCCTTGTGCCAGGCTGCGGCAAAGCCCGCCTAATGCCTCACCACCTGAAGCCATCCCAGGAAAATTTCCAAGAGGCCTCCCCCGGGATATAAATAGAAGAACCAAGGGCAGCCTGGTAAAGGCAGGGATTTAGGAAGCGCTGGCTGCTTTAAAGGAAACACACCATCGCCCCAGTTTTACAGAGGCAAGATGCCAGGCGAGGGAAGGGGGCGGGGTGGTCCGCAAAGGCTAGAATTCTCTCCCTAGCAACCCTTGCAGACACACTGAGCTTCCACTGCAGAGGGAGGGGCGGGCGCCCCGCCCACTCGGGCAGATGTTGCAGGCGGACAAAAAGAGGACAAAGCTTGTCGCCAGAGAAAACCTGAGTCACCACGAGCCGCAACATGGGGGCAGGGTGTTGGGGGGTTAGGGGTAGGAGGGGAGAATGAGTGGGACTGGTGAAAGACAGGTCCCACCCCAACCAAATACATTCCTGCGCAATTCCATTCGATTCTCTTCTCTTCCCCTGCCCCGCCCTCCCCAAATCATCTCCCTGAATGTCAAAGAGAAGGCGAGCCTGGTCCTTTCCCAGTGGGATCTGAAGTGGAAAGGAGAAGGTATCCCCTACACCACCCCCCAGTCCCGCTCCCCGAAAAGAAAAACCACCTACAGGCAAGGAAGCCAGCCCAGATGCGGGGGTCCTCCCCCCCTCCCACAACCCCACGCCCTGAGCCTTCCCACTTCCCACTCCGGTCTCCCGCCTCCGCAATGCACCCCAACTCCCGAAGTACACTCGTAATGCGACCCCCACCTCCTGCCCGGATCTGGAAGTCCTACTTCCCCCTTCAGCCCCTCCGAACCCCAAAGCGCTATCCCGCACACCCCGCAGGGCGCCCCTCCCCCACTCCCAATGAGCCCCACCCCGCCTCACTGCAGTGCTACCCCCCCTTTCCTGCCTTGCGCAGTACATTACCCTGCCTTGCCGCAGTGCGCCCCCCGCCTCCCCGCCTTGCCGCAGTGCGACCCCCGCCTCCCCGCTTTGCCGCAGTACGCTCCCCCGCCTCCCCGCTTTGCCGCAGTGCGCCCCTCCCCCACCGCCTCTCCTTACAGCAGTGCGCCCCTCCTCCACCTCCTCTCTTTGACGCATTGCGCCCCTACCCCCCCCTTCTCTAGGCTGCGCACCGCAGTGAGCCCCACCTCCCCGCCTTGCTGCAGTGAGTCCCCCCAATGAGCCCCCACACACCCTCAACGCACCCCGCCCTGCCGCAATGCGCCCCTCGCCCCTTCTCTGTGCCGCGCCCCCCACTGAGCCCCTTCCCAAACCGCAGTGCACCCCTCCTCTCCCCGCTTTGCCTCAGTGCTCCCCCCTCCTTCTCTCCTTGCTGCGCCCTTCAATGAGCCCCCTCTCACACTGCAGTGCACCCCCATCCTCCTTGCCTAGCCATAGCGCACCCCGAGCCTTGCCGCAGTGAGCCTCCGCCTCACCGCAGCATCCCACTTCGGTTTCCCCCACCGCTTAAGCTTTCCCTCACTGCACCCCAATCCCCCCATTCCCCTTCCTGAGACCCTGGCACTTACTTCTTGCAAGGGATGAGAGCCTTCCTCTCCTCCAGAAGGCGGACGCGCTGCTGGAGGGCATCGTAGGAGAGCAGGGCACGGGTGTTGCGGCCGCTGCTGTGGTCGTAGCGCACCTGACGTCCTTCCCACTGCTGCGGAGCTTGGCATGGCTGCCCCGGATCCCCGACAGCCAGCTCCCGGCTGCAGAGGCTACCCAGGAGCCAAACCACTAGGAGCGCGGCGCGCATCCCTCTCTGTGCTGCAGGGGACAGCGCAGGTGGATAGGCGCGGGCTAGGGAGCAAAGCCGCAAAGGACGGGGCAGGACAGGGTCGGGCTGGGCAGCGCAGGGCAGGACAGGGTAAGGAAGCGCAGGAAAGGGCAGTGGCTCTCTCTCTCCGCCGTCCCCTCCCTCCCCTAGCCCTTCGGTGCACTTGCCGGGGGAGGGAGGGACGGAGGTCCAGTCGTGTCGGGAGAGAGCCGCGACCTCGGCTCCGGCTTCCCCGTGCGCAGGGAGTGGCTGGGGCACACTGCGGCGGGGAGCTCGCAGCTAGCTCCCTCCCGCTCCGGCTCCGGCTGAGACTGCGGCTTCCTTCCCCCCGCCGACTCTCTGCTGCCAACAGGAAATGCAGAGGCAAACGTGCCCGTCACAGCCCAATGGGCATCCGCAGAGTGGACGTGCGGGCGGGGGGAGGAGGGAGAACTCGGGCAAATGCGGGAGGACTGCAACCCTAGTCGGGCGGGGCTGCGGCGGTAAATGCTGGAGGGAGAACCAGCTGCTGAGAGCTGCCACTCAGTTACCTGCTACCCCCTCCCCCCCAAAAAAACCAAGGGGCATCTTAGCATCCCTACGGACACAAGGTGGGGAACCAGGCCAAGCACGGAGGGAGAGAATTCGCCCTTAGCTTCACTTTAGGATGAGCTGGTAGTGACCTTAGTGATTCTCTGCCTCAGACCCCTCATTTTTCAGACCAAGAAACCGAGGGTTTCAGGGAAAGGCAACTTACACCGAGGTTGGAACCGATAGAGCATGGACTTGACCCAGGGTCCTGTGTCTTCCCCGGGGAAAAGTCTTGACCGTGAAGGCAGGCGAGATCTGAGTTTGAATCTTGGGTCTGACTCTTACTAGCTGCATCGCTTAATTTACCCAAGACTCAGTTCCCATAGTTTGCTTTTCACAACTTAAAGAACACTATATAAATGTGAGTTGGTGTCACCCTATGGATTAAACTAACATTTGTTAAGCTCCTACTGTGTGTCAGGCATTGTGCTAGGTCCTGCCTAGAAAGACAAAAATTAAACTGTTCCTGGCCCCGAAGAGTTTAGTTTTGGGGATGAAGGCTGTTTGAAGCAGGGTCTTTTCACTTTCTCAATCAGATCAAACCATCATATCCACACATTTATAAAAACTACATCAGGCTCCTTCAATTTACTCCCGTGTCACCTTAGGCAAATCATTTGCCCTCTCTGGGCCTCAGTTTCCCCATCTGTACAATGAAAGGAATGGACTAATTGACCTCTTAGATTACAGATTTAAAACTGAAAAGGACCCCAGAAGCCGTCAAGGCCAATCCCCTCGTTATACAGATGAGGACACAGGTGTAGCGTTCTTTCCACTCTTCCCACCACCCTTCTCTCTAGTTCTTCATCTAGGATTCTCTAATCTCCCAGTTGACGGCTTTCCTCTATTGCTGGGCCTCCAGGTCACTGGATCTGAGGAGCTCAGGACCAAAACAGAAGAGTTACTCTTACCCCCTATAACATCACCAGAGGTCAAGCCTTCATTCAAATACACTGAGTACCTAAGTACTGAAAAGGGAGAGCTGCCTCATTATCCTGAAACTGTCACACAGTAGATGCTTAATAAATACTTGTTGATTGACTGTGCCCGGTAACCATGGGTGACCTTGTGCCCCTGGGAACAGTGAGGCAGAAGGGAGAGCTGATTGAGATTGCATTTAGAAGATTGAAAGATATACTTTTACAACTCCCTTAATGCAGAGCCAGGTGTATAATAGCAACTGTTTAATAAACGTTTGAATCTTCATCCATGAGGGCCATTGTGCCAAGCATACATTTTATCTCTTCCATTACTTGTCCAAGAAGAAGCTGGGATGTCCAGAGGTTAGGCTGGCCTTTAGATTTAGCAGGGGATTCGGTCCTGGGCCTGGTAGAGAAACAGTAAAAGCCGGTGAAAGTGGCAGGAAATAGCAGATCATCTAATCCAGGGGTGGGGAACCTGCAGCCTCAAGGCCACACGTGGCCCTCTAGATCCTCAAATTTAGCCCTTTGACTGAATCCAAACTTCGCAAAACAAATCCCCTTAATAAAAGGATTTGTTCTATAAAACTTGGACTCAGTCTGAAGGCCAAACTCAAGGACCTAGAAAGCCACTTGTGGCCTTGAGGCAACAGGTTCTCCACCCCCATCTAATCCAACCTGCAGATTTACAAATTTGCAAATAAGAAAACAACATAAGATTTACAAGTAAGAAAACCGATGTATTTTACAGATTAGAAAACCTGGAGAGAGTAATAACTTGCCTATGAAGTGATTTGAGGAGAGCCTAGAAGGGTTCTTCTCTGGCCCCCTAGCTCTAACTCCCAGGGCAAAAAGAATCTCAGTACCTTCCAGGGGTGTGCTACAATGAGCTCAAACCTGCTTGGGAGAGCCAATTGTTAAATTTTCAGTATGGACATTTACACCTGGAAATTGGTAAATGCTCCAGATGAGAACTTGACTTAATTTGTTGATTGTCTAGACTTAAGAAATTGATGGAGAAATGTTAATAATACAGATTAGACTTAAAAATGTGTTTCAGGTAGCTGCTTGTTAAAATATTCCACTATACCTCATGTACCACCCTTAGAGAGTCAGTCCTTCCTTGAGATTTGCTTTTTCTCTGTTCTTGGTAGGGTGAGGCATTGGCATTTACCTTAGTGTGAATATTCATTCCCCAGTGGCTACACTTCTAGAAAGGGGGACCTGAGGGCTCTAGTTGGGAGTCCTAGAGGTTAAAGCAGGACCAAAGGTGGAGGTGAAGGACCAAGAAGGGGGAGAACAGGGGGTTGCCATGTTGCCCAGGACCCTAAACAAGCCAGCCTGCCTGCCCAAAAGCAAACTTTGTGCCTCTCCAAGCAAACTCTCTACTTTCTGTAACATACATGAGTGTCCAAGGAAACTTCATTGAGCCAATCTTGCTCCTTATGGATGAGGAAACAAACCAGAGCAAAGGAAAGGCTTGCTTGTCACCCAGGAGTGATTTGAGGAAGGGTTAAGCATTGTCAGGAGAGCTGGGAAAGAATGGCCGAGGGATTCCTGGAGAACCCTGGTGGTGGCAGCTGTTAGCCCTGGCCTCCTCCTCATACTATCTTGTAATAACTGGGAGGAATTGTTGTGCAATGTGAAGTTTTCTATTTACAAAGCACCAGAGCTCCAATCCAGCTCTTCCAATTCCTACCTTGGAAAGTCACTTTACCACTCTGGGCCTCAGTTTCCTCATCTGTGTCCCTGGTACATAGCACAATGCCATGAACATGACAGGTAGTTAATAGATGTCTGTTGAATGAAATTATTCACCTTTAAATCCTTCCAATGCAGGCACAAAATCTAGGGCTACTCTACAATGGTAAAGTTGTGTTAAAGACTGAGGCTTGAACAGAACACAGGCCTTGACTGGCAATTTTAGGTTTGCTCAATATCAATCCATCAATAAACATTAATAAGCACCTACTATGTGCCAGGCATTGGGCTAAGTGCTGGGAATCCAAAAGGAGCAAAAGACAATCTGTGCCTCAAGGAGTTCATAATCTGATGGGGTAGACAACACACAAAAATATACAGAGCAAACTCTAGATAGGATAAAGGGGAAATAATGAAGGGGGTGGGGAGCACTGGAATTGTGAGGGTTTGGGGAAGGCTTCCTGTAGACGATGGAATTTTAGCTGAGACTTAAAGGAAGTCAGGGAAGTCAACAGGTGGAGTTAAAAAGGGAGAGGGTCCCAAGCATGGGGGATAGCCTGAGAACTGAGAGCTGAGAGATGGAGTGTCTTCCTCATGGAATGGCCAAAGAGGCCAGCGTCACTCAATCCAAGAATAATTGTTGGGAAGTAAGGTGTAAGAAGACTGAAAAGGTAGGAAGGGATAGGGGATGAAGGGCTTTGAATGCCAAGGAGAAGATGAGTCCTTCTAAAGAATAGCCTTAGAAACAGAGTGGAGTCTCATCTGGAGAAGACTGCCATAAGCATGCCTTCCTCATTGGCTCCTCCCAGGTCTGGCATCGCCAAGGTCTGAAACATCTAGGGGAAGAAAAAAAATACCTCGATTACAACTAGCCCTGGCAGGTCTAGTCTGGCCCAAGTATGGTTCCTTCTCCATAAGTTAAATCTAGGATTAAAACTAGGAGTTGTAATTTTTCATGCGACAGGCCAAGAATCTGGCAGATGCACAGGCCCACTCTGGAATGCATCTGAAGCCCTGGGGTAGACCAAGGATAAAATTCAACTCCTTGGTCGTTTTGATCTCACATGACTTTATCCTAACCTAAATTAATCCTAACCTAAGCAGCTAGGTGGCACAGGGCACCTAGATAGAATGTTGGATTGGGAGTCAGAAAGACCTGAATTCAAATCTGGCCTCAGAGACTTCCTAGCTGTGTGACCATGGGCAAGTCACCTAACCTGTTAGCCTCAATTTCTTCATCTGTAAAATGAGCTGGAGAAGGAAGTGCCAAACCACTCCAGTATCTGTGCCAAGAAAACCCCAAATGAGGCCACAAGTAGAGTGGGACCCCAGTGAACAGCAGCAAAGCTCAATTAAGCAAGACTACAAACTGGGGACAGAGATACAAAAACTGAACAGTCCCTGCCCTCAAGGTGCTTATATTCTACCACAGAAATGCAAGTAAACAAGTAAACAAAATACAGTAAATGTACAAAGTAATTTCGAAAGCTAATGGGGTGGGGTAGAAATTAGATAAGATCTGAAAGAGGAGGTGTCATCTGGTCTGTGCTATGAGGAAAGCTGAAGATTCTACCAGACTGGGGGAGGAAAGAGATCATTTCAGAGTTGAAGCTTTTCATCGGTCTTAGATCCTTATGGCGAAAGCATTCCGGGATTGGATTCTTGGGAAACTGAAGTTAGAGGAGATAGCTAATACTCTTCCTCTCTTTCTGTCAAGGTCTGCCTCTCATTAGCCTAGAAGGTAGGGTACTGGACTTAGAATCAGGAAGATCTGGGTTCAAATGCTGCCTTACATTTACTCATTGTGTGACCCAGGGAAGATCACCTGATCTCTCTGTATCTCAGTTTCTTCATCTGAATTTTATGGTTTTTGAGATCCCTCCCAGCTCTAAATACTATAATTCACAGTTTACTTGTGGTTTTTGTAAACTATGGCATCTGGTGAAACTTATGAACCCCTTCTCAGAAGTGTTTTTAAAAATTGAAGGAAATGCCAACTTTCAGTTCGAAGTTAGTGAAAATAAAGATGTTATTCCTCACCCCAAACAAGTTCATGGATATCCTGAAATCTCTCCGTGGGCCCCTTGGGGATCTGTGCACCCCAGATTAGTAAATCTCTGCCTTGATGAAGAGAAGATGCCCTAGGTCACCTCCTAAAGTCCTTTCTAGTCCCATGATCCCACAAAACAAACTACAAGGAAAATAGTTCTCACTTGATATTCTACTGAGAAAGTCACCAACAGGGAAACATGACTGCTCCAGAGGTTTTCACTACAAAAACCTTGCTGTATTGGGGTCAGCTGGCCAAATTCTTCCTAACAGGACATGAAAAGCCAGGAGTGAAAAGAAGATTCATGAAATCTAATTTAATAAGCATGTAAGTGCCTGGTTGGATCCTAGGACCCCTTTCCCCCACTGAATATCCCTTCACAGGTAATGGCACTTCCTAAAGAAAAAATATCTTGAATTGTGATATGGAATCAGGTTAATACTTTCAGATTCCTGACAAGCAGTCTTGTGCTAGTTTGTAGTTAATAATGGCACTCTGTATACATTTCAGATTATGCAAATAAAGTAATGTTGAAAAATAAAAAAAAAAAATACACACAGCCAGAGAGTCCTGCCCTCAAGGTGCTTACATTTGCTCACATTTCAAGTCATATCCTCACTCAAATCAGCCACCACCACCACCACCACAAAGCTTACCACAGGAATTTTAGAGTGCTGGTTGAGGACCCTTTGGGATCGGGAAGAGCTGATAGTATTTCTCTCATTCTTTCATTGGCTTGGGCAATTTGGGAGGAAGACAAAAAGAGTGAAGGAAAAGTAATAGGAAAATGTAAAGGAAAAGATCAATTTCTCAAACCTTAGATCTTCGAAAGAGTACTTGGAGTACATTACCTTTACCCAGAGAAGTTTTAAGCTGGAAAACCCTCAGGAAGCATCTAGTCTGACCCACTGATTTTATAGATAAGGAGTCTGGAGTTCAGAAATATGTCACTTTGCCCAAAGTCACAAAGAACTGGCCTAAAAATCAAGCCACGTGTGGTGCAGGGTGGAGAGAACTAGGATTTTGGAGTTCTGATTTGGATTCTAGATCCAAAGCTGGAAGAGAGCTCAGAGGCCCTGCGTCCCACCCATTTCTCACAAAGAAAAGGGAACTGAGAGGGGAAAGTCGTTGCCCAAGGCTACACAAGCAGATTTGAACTCAGAGCCCCTGACTCCAGAATCCAGGGCTGCTTGGATTGTACCACCTGGTCTCCGATAGGAATGCTACCACTTACTGTGTGACTTCAGCCAAAGTTACCTCCTCCCTCTGGTCGTCAGGAGAGAGTCGAACTATATGTCCAGCAGATGACTTCCGAGGTTATTCCCAGCCCTGACTCCACATTTCCAATGTATCCCAGCCATAGCTTGTTTGTAATGTTTGTAGTGTGATATCTACATGTCGTTTCCCCCGACATGACGTGAGTTCCTTGAGAGCAGGGAGCGTCGTTTGCCTTTCTTCGTATCCCCAGCACTTAACACAGTGCCCGACACATAGTAGGCTCTTAAGAAATGTTTACTGACTTTCTGGCTTACAGCCTAGGGCTCTCTCCACCACCCCAGGGTGACAAACCAGACACCAGCTCCTGTGGGAATAGTACAAAATAAGGAAATTTTCCCTAAAAAAAAAAAAAAACAAAAAACAAATGTTTCAGTTAGAGTTCTTGCTTTACCTACCCCTAAGAATGTCTTTCTGAAAGCCATTAGGGACCCTGGCAAAGGAGCTTCTGGGCCCCCTGTTGGAGAAAGCAAAAACAACTTTCTGCTCAATTCTGAGCTCCTCCAAGTTTGAATTTCCGAAAGTTGATTGGAGCACAAAACTGGGCCCGGCGGAGGGCCCGGCCCAAGGGTTCGCGAGCTGCACTCCACCCCCACAAACAGACAGACACTCCCTAGCCCCCGTGGCCCCCGGCTCCAAGCCTCGGGACTCTGGCTGAGCGTGCTCCCGGGCCCTCCCCGCAGCCTCAGCCACTCCAGCCCCTGCCCCTGCCCCTGCCCTCGGGGGACGTGATGTCAGCGCGACGAGGCCGAGGGGGGCGGCCGCGGGGGAGCCCTCCCGGAGTGCCGAGCCGCCGACCGGGCCCACGTCAGATGCGGCGCGGGGATAAATAGCAGCCTGCGGGGGCCATGGCTGTCGGCACTAGGAGTCAGAGCGGGAGCGGGAGCAGGACCAGAACCTGGACCGAAGCCGGGGCGCAGCGGAGAGGAGTGGCCAGCGGCAAGCTCCGAGCTGCTCCAGGGTCCGACGGTGGCAGCGGAGCCGTGAGCTAGCGGGCGGGAGACCGCGAGCGATACCGGCGGCAGCACCGGCGGCAGCGCGGGCAGCGGACCGAACAGGAGGGCAGCCCCGACGGCTGCAGCCATGCTCGTCGCCAGCCTGGCGGCACTGGCCCTGGCACTGCGCCTGACCCGGGCAGTGCGGGGCGCGCCCTGCGAGCCCGTGCGCATCCCCATGTGCCGGTCCATGCCCTGGAACCTGACCCGCATGCCCAACCACCTGCACCACAGCACCCAGGAGAACGCCGTGCTGGCCATCGAGCAGTACGAGGAGCTGGTGGACGCCAACTGCAGCTCGGTACTGCGCTTCTTTCTGTGCGCCATGTACGCGCCCATCTGCGCCCTGGAGTTCCTGCACGACCCCATCCGGCCGTGCAAAGCCCTATGCCAGCGCGCCCGAGACGACTGCGAGCCCCTCATGCGCCTCTACAACCACAGCTGGCCCGAGAGCCTGGTCTGCGACGACCTGCCGGTCTACGACCGCGGCGTGTGCATCTCCCCCGAGGCCATAGTCACAGAGCTGCCAGAAGGTTCGGAGAGGGGCAGGGGCAGCCCGGGGAGGGATCCCGGGCCCAGAGACACCCTCCAACAGGCGGGGACGGGGGAGTTGGAGTCAGGGCTTCTACGGCCGCTGTGCCCCTCCGGAAAAACCAGGGAGGCTGGCAACATCAATGACCTAAGCCCCCCATTCTGGTTGGGGGAAATTGAGGCTCCGGGAAATAGCTGAAAGGGGTACTTGCCCGCGGTCACGCAGTTAGCGTGGTATGAAATGTTTCACATATGGTGTGATCACACACACGCGCACGCGCGCACACACACACACACACACACACACACACACACACACACTCACACACACCCTGGGTTTGGAGTCGGAGGACCTAGGCTCTCTGCCACATACTACATACTTGGTGACCTCAGGCAAATTACCTCCCCACTCCAAGACTCAGTTTCCTCCCTTAGAAAATGAGAGAGCTGGACTAGATGCGCTCTGGAGTCTCTTCCAGCTCTAAAGCTGTAATCCTATGCTGGCAAGCCTGATTCTAATCCCAGACTTGCCTCGAGCTCCGTCCTCCATCTGTCTCTCCATTTAGGGCACTGGCGGCTGAAAGGTGGCAGCCTCGTAGGGAGCTGCGCCCTGGAAGCCCCGGGAGAAACTAGCCCGACTCGACCCTCTTTCCTTTTTCTCCCTCTTTTGAATTGGGGCTAGTAAGGAGAGGGAGGAGAGGGAGAGCTGGGAAAGGGCAGTTTCTCCCCTAAGGGCTCTGCAGAGTCTTGAGTCATGCCTTTGAATCCCTTCTCTGACGCTTGCATTACATACTCCCCCGAATCCCAGTTTCCTCATCTGGAAAATGGGGATAGTACCACCTTTGGTTTCCACATCACAGGATGGTAAGGGAGGCTCAAAGCTCTGCACAAACCTTAATGAGACAGCATTTCATCTTAGTCTGTTTATAATTCAAAAGGATGTTTAGCATAGTGCCTGGCACGTAGTAGGGACTTCAGTGTTTTTCGATTGGATCTCATAAATGATGATGTCACCAGCACAAGCTTTGGGTCTGGCACCCAGTAAGGGAGTTACACTCCATTTTTCGGTATCTGGTGTGTGGACCAGGCTGCCCAGTTAGAGGATCCTAGTATTTCCAGGTCCAGAGGCAAAGCGACTCTGCCACGGGGTCCCTTTCCCACCTCCAGCTGGTGACAAGAGAAGAGAAGGAAAGGAGGGCAAAGGCCATGCTTGTGTCTCATCAGGGATTTGATAGTTGGAGAACGTTCCCCAAAGGACTAACAGTGGAAGCTTAAGGTCCCTGAGACTTTATCTGGACTAAGGACACTGTCCTCTCATCCTAGATTTGCAGGAAGTTGTTTGCTGGTTGCTTTTCCACGGCTTGAAGGCCTTTCCTCCCAGCCGTCGTCCCCTTCCATCTGCTTTCTAGGTATAATGTGTGTATTTAGGTATTTACATGTCATCTCCCTGTCAGGATGGGGAGCTACCTGGAGCTTGCTCTTTGTATCCCCAGCACTCAGCCCAGTCCATTGCACACAGTAATCACTTAACAACTATCTGTTGACAGCCTGAAATTGGTGGGTCAGCTCATCACCCAGCTCATCAAGGAGACCATATGGTCATGGGATCAGTAAGTAGAAGGGATCTCAGAGGTGATCTAATCCAACCTTCTCATTTTACAGAAGAGGAAACTGTTAAGTCCTTCTCCCAGGGTCCCACAATTAGCAGTTGTCAAAAGTGGGATTTGAACCTAGGTCATCTGACTCGGCAGCCAGTACTCTTTCCACTATTCCAAGCAAGTCAAAGCTGAGCTTGTATCAGCAGAGTGATGTTGAGAATGGAGGCACCACCTGGGTAATTTGGAATTTAAAAAAAAAACCCTAGATGATTGGATGTTTATAGTGATAGGTGGCTTATTTAGTGCCTGGCACATAGTAGGTACTTAATAAATGCTTATTTATTGCTCGATTGATTTAGCTTGTTTTGTATGTAGACTTAGATTATGTCTATATAGAAAAAACTGTGGGAATTTGGACATTGTCTGGTTTACTTGATCATTATAAATAGCCAAAACTAAAAAAGTTTTAGTTCGCCTCTCAGATCTCTTCTCATTCTCAGACTCTGGAACTGGGTGTAGGACAGGGGGAGGGGAGGAAGTATCCAGTCTGGCTGATTCTATTTCCTATTGCATGAAATGAAGTTACCAAAGCTTCCCTTTCTTTCCCTTTGCACTGTGCCTGTGGAGATGCCCTGAGACTAGAGCCTTGCCCTGGGAAAGCTAGAAATACTATAAGTTCAGGAAAGCTGGTGGCAAGATAATGGTGTAAGATGGGGGTGCAGGAATGCAAGAAATTTGGGGGATTGAAACCAGAGGATATATGGTAGGCTACTATTTCCAGGTCCTTCACTCTGCCAAGGGAGAATACAAAAGCTACTTGCTCTTTCAATAGAGAATTAGGATCTAGCCCCAATTCAAAAGAGGGAGAAAAAGGAAAGAGGGTCGAGTCGGGCTAGTTTCCCCCCGGGGCTTCCAGGGCCCTGCTCCCTGTGAGGCTGCCACCTTTCAGCTGCCAGTGCCCTAAATGGAGAGACAGATGGAGGACGGAGCTCGAGGCAAGTCTGGGATCTAACATGGCTCACGCCCTTTTCTAGATGCAAAGTGGATAGACATGACCTCAGACATGATGGTACAGGAGAGACCTCTTGATACCGACTGCAAACGCCTAAGCCCTGGTGAGTTGTTTCTTTGCTCAGTTTCCCTGGTCATGCTCTCCAAACTCAGTGCAATAGCTGCCTTCAATTTCTCCTGTCTTTTGTTTTCCCAAGACCGGTGTAAATGTAAAAAGGTGAAGCCCACCGTCGCGACCTACATGAGCAAGAACTACAGTTATGGTAAGTTGTGGGAGTTCTTAAGGACGGAGCTGTCTGTTTCTGAGACTTGGATGGTAGCAAAGCCTGGCTCTGGAGACTTGTAGCCACTCATGCCTTGTTGACTGAGAAAAGAAAGAGGGTAGACAGGTTATAGGGTGAATTTAGTTCAAGGATCAAGCTAGTATGCACAATGTAAGCCATTCTTTGTGTGTGTGTGTGTGTGTGTGTGTGTGTGTGTGTGTGTGTGTGTGTGAAAGAGAGACAGAGACAGAGAGAGACAGATCTGGGTAATTCAGTCAGAATCTGCTGAGCATCGGGGTTTAGCAATATAACAGACAATCAGTTATCTTCATGTGCCTTGTTTCTTTTCCTTGGGGATGGTCCCAGCCCTTGGGACCTTGCAGCCAGCTGGTTTGGGTCACTGGGCTTCCTCCCCCCAAAAGTTTCCATGCTGAGGCTATAGTTTCAACTCTCATGGATGCATTATCCCTATTTGGACTCTGTGCATGCCTTATAGATTAAAAAAAAAAAGAAAGAAAGAATAAGAGGAAACTTGTTAACCTACAGCTGGAGCATTTTTTAATTCTATTTAAAGTATGTATAGGACTTTTCTGCTGACAAATGGACTTGTCCCAGAATTTCTCAATCAATTCAAACAAAAAGCCTGTGACTTAGGCAGCTTAAACTTTTTACAAAGGCCCAGTAAAGTTGCTTTTATGTGGTCAAGCAGCTTCTAAGTGAAGGACCTTGAACACAGACCTGACTTCCAGGCTGCTCTTTCTCCTACCTCAATGGTACCTAACTATAATCCCGTACAGGCTACCAAAATATTATTGGGTATGCAGTAATAATAGTTAATGATAATATAGCACTATAAGGTTTGCAAAAAGATTTATATATTATTAATATATTATATTTTATATATGTTTGTGTGCTTATAAATAAGTGTATATATGTGTATGAGCAGCTAGGTGGAGCAGTGGATAGAGTGCTGGGCCTAGAGTCAGAAAGACTCATCTTCCTGAGTTGAAATCCAGCCTCAGATGCTTACTAGCCGGCTGACCCTGGGCAAGTCACTTCATCCTATTTGCCTCAGTTCCTCATCTGTAAAATGGGCCGGAGAAGGAAATGGCAAACCACTCCAGTATCTTTGCCAAGAAAACCCCAAATGGGGTAATAAGAGTTGGACACAATTGAAACGACTGAACAGCAGCAAGTGTGTGTGTGTGTGTGTGTGTGTGTGTGTGTGTGTGTGTGTGTGTGTTCTCATTGGCTCCTCATAACAACCCTGTGAGGTAGGTACTATTTTGATCCCCATTTAACCAATGAGAAATCTGAGTTAGACACATGAAGTGACTTGCCTGGGGTTACACAGCTACTAAGTATCTGAGTCAGAATTTGAACTCAGATCTTCCTGACTCCAAGTTCTTCTGTAGACTGAATAAATAACATATTTTGAATATATACATATATATGAATACTTATGAGAATATACATCAATGTGATTGTGATAGGAGGCATGCAAATTTATTTAAAGCTCTTACTGAATTCATAAGCGTTGTTTATTTTCTCAATCAAAAGGAAAGTAACAGGAAAAGTGCTGTCATGTGGGGTCCAAGTAGTTTGGAGAGCCCTGTGCTATCTCTAACTAGGAATATTGGTTAGTCATACTCACTAAACTGTTAGGTTACCATTATTTGGATGTAAATTAAAATGTTCAGATCCCTACCAGCACACAGAATAGGTTATTGATGCATTTGAAATCTGGTTTTGGCTCTTTCCACATTTTCCTTGAGTCTCTTAAACTACACGTGTTCTCCAAACAATGTGCTGGGTACAATTTCTTGCTACTTTGGACATTGACAGAAGTGCTTTGTAGTTTGCAATCAACACTTATTAAGTGCCTGGGACTGTGTTAAGAGCTGGGGATATAAAGTCAGAAGTGCAGGAGGCCTTTCGAGTCTCTTTCCCACCACCCCCCTCGCCCCCACTAGGCCCTTCTCTCCAAGTGCCTTCGATCTACTGCCTTTCATCTACTCGACCAGAATCTTGTATGCACAGATTTGTTTACATGCTGTCTCCCCTATTAGGGTCTGAGATCCCCACAAGGGCTGGTTTTTGCCAGTCTTTATATCCCCAGAACTTAGCAGACTGCCTGGCTCACAGTTAGTGCCTAATAAATGCTTCTTGACTTGATCTGACTTTCAATAGTCCCTGCCCTCAAGGCTCTTGTATACAAAGGACTTTCCCCGTGATAGTCCTGTGAGGGAGGTAGTACAAGGGTTGTTAATCCATTTTTGCAGATGAGGAAACTGAGGCTCATAAAACAGGGATAACTTGCCTAAGGTCATAGGCCCAGCAAGTATTGGTGGTACTGGAATCCAGTCTCCTATACCACACCCCTCTTTTGTCTCTTTTCAACTGAAATTATATTCCTATGAAGAAAGTTAGGTATTGTTAGATATTGTTGTTTAATTGTTTTTGAGTCATATCTGACCCTTCGTGACCCCTTTTTTGGGGGGGCGAGGGATTTCTTAGCAAAGATACTGGAGTGGTTCCACATTTCCTTCTCTGGGTCATTTTACAGATAAAGAAACTGAGGCAAACAGAGTTAAGTGTCCAGGGTCACACAGTTACTAAGTGTCTGAGGCTAGATTTAAACTCAGGTCTTCTTAACTCTGGGCCTGGTACTCTATCCGCTTCGCCACCTAGCTGCCCCTTGTTGGACACAGAGAGCCCATTAAAAGGACCCAAGGACCAGGTGTCCTATTATCAGTTGGATAAATATCTTCAGCCATGTGGGTAACATCCCCTCCCCCTGCATACGTTCCCCCCAGCAGCCCAACCCACCATTCTTTGGGTCTTTAGCGGCATCCCTTTGACGTCTTGGCTAAGTAGGCTATTCCTCTGGTCTTTCATCTCCACCATGCTTTCCCTTTGCCCGTCTTTCAGGATACTAGATTTTCACTGCCTTCTCCTCTCTCCATTACCATCAATGAACTGTTTGGCTCCCACCCATCTTGAGTCTGTGATCCTTCCACGTCCAGAGATATTTCTGCCCAAGATCACAGCTTTGTAACAGGGCAGGGACACTCGTGCCCAAACCCCCCCGGACAACAGGCCCCCCCCCCCCCGCCCACCCCCGCCCCCACCCCACACCATCCTTGTTGTCAAGGATGGGAAACAGCCTGTTCATCCTTGCTACTTCGCTGGGGAACCTTAAGTGAACTGCAGTGAGGTCTTTGAGAGAAGGACCATAGGAAGTTATAACCAATGACTCTCTCTGCCTTCCCCATCTCCACCTCCCCCACACATGCACTTTAATGTGGAGAACTGGGAGTTGAGGCCTGGGTTCTGGTCTCATTAATGCTCTTTTCAAACCTTAATGCACTACAGATATTGCCATCCTCCAGTAAATCTGTGATCACACCCATTAGGAAGTTCCCTCCAGTGGGGCAGATAGCAAACCGCCCCTGGGTTGCCAGTCCATCCTGTGTGTCCTGTGTTCATCACATTTTGGAGGGCCGTCCAAAGTGCTGGAGGCGTTTCTTCCTGTCTCCTGACTGTCTCCTGACTTTCTTTTCTTATCCCTTGCCTTTCCCACACAGCTAGGCCAACTTCTTTTTCAAACATATACTTTCCACCGATATTGCAGTTATTCCGAGCTGCTCTTTGGCTGTACGTTGACAGTTCACACCTACCAGGTGCCTCCAAATTAATTACAGGCATTGATGCCCATCTTCAGTTCCCCGTATTGTTATATTCCATACCTTGTAGTCATACCACAATGTTGGTAAAATATTGATATTAAAAAGTCAAGTCAGCAAGTATTTATTAAGTACCTACTATGTGCCAGGCGCTGTGCTAAGCAGTAGAGACACAAAAAGGGGGCAGAAATACCATGTCTGTCTTCAAAAACTCAGATTCTAATGAGAGAGCATGCAAATAGCTATGTACAGGTAAGACTGTTGTTTTGTTGATTGGTCTTATCTGACTCTTTATGACCCCATTTGAGGTTTTCTTGGCAAAGATACCGGAATGATTTGCCATCTCCTTCTCCAGCTCATTTTGCAGATGAGAAAACTGAGGCCAACAGGTTATGTGACTTACCCAGGGTCACAGAGCTAGTAAGTATCTGAGGTCAGATTTGAACTCAGGTCTTCCTGATTCCAGGCCCAGTACTCTATTCATTGTGCCCTACAAATAAAATACATACAGGGAAAATTTGAGGTAATCTTAGAGGGTAGGTTTGGGAAAGGCCATTTGCAGAAAGTCAGTTGATAAACATTAATTAAGCACCTACTATGTGTCAAGCACTATGCCAAGCACTGGCAATACAAAAAGAAACAAAAGATAGTCCCTGCCCTCAAGAAGCTTACAATCTAATGAGGAAAACAACAAATATGTACGAACAAGTTACGTAAAAGATAAATCGGAAACAAGACAGAGAAAGTAGAATTAAGAGAAATTGGAAAGGACTTCATATAGAAAATGGGATTTTAGTTGGGACTTAAAGAAAGCCAAAGAAGACAGTAGGTAGAGATGAAGAGGGTGAGCATTCTAGGCATGGGGGACAGCCAGAGAAAATGCCCAGAGCTGAGAGATGGAATGTCTTATTCATGGAACAGCCAGGAGGCCAAAGTCACTGTATCAAAGAGTGCCTGTTGGGAAGAAAGGTATAAGAAGACTGGAGGCAGTAGGAAGCTACTGCAGTTTATTGAGTAGGGGAATCACGTGGTCATACCTGAGCTTTAGGAAAATGACTTTAGTGGCTGAATGCAGAATGAATTGGAGTGGGGAGAGACTTGAGGCGGGCAAACCCCTGTCCCCAGCAGGCTATTACAAACAGTCCAGACAGGAAGTGCTGAGTGCCTACACTACAGTATCAGAGGCGAGAAGGGGGCGTATTCAGGGGATGCTACAAAGGTGAAATCAGCAGGTCTTGACCACAGCTGGGATGTGCGGGAGGGATGGTGTGAGAGATAGTGAGGAATCCAGAATGATTCGTAGATTGTGAGACTGAGGGACCGGGAGCAGCGTAGTGGTGCTCTCAGCAGTGATAGGCATGATAGGGGCCAGGGAGGACTTGGGGGAAAACATAAAGAGTTCTGTTTTTGACATGTTTAGCTTAAGATGTCTACTGGACATCCAGTTAAGAACGTCTGAAAGGCAGTTGGAAACATGAGCTGAGCTTGCAGATCAGCAGAGAGGGGTTGGTGAAGCATCGGTAGACTTGAGAATCAGCAGAGACAGTAATCAGATTCATGAGGATTGCAGCATTGCTCATATATCTTTCGAAATGCAGTGATTCATGCCAAAATAAAAGCAGTACAAAGAAGTGGCTGCCACGAAGTCACCACGGTGGTGGACGTAAAGGAGATTTTCAAGTCTTTGTCGCCCATTCCCCGAACTCAGGTGCCTCTTGTGACTAACTCTTCCTGCCAGTGTCCACATATCCTGCCCCACCAAGACGTTCTCATCATGTGCTATGAATGGCGTTCAAGGTAAGCAAAGGCAGGCATGGAGAGTGGGGAGAAGATGAATTTTGAAATCTTAACTTTGCATTTTTGAATTTTTAAAGGGTTAATGTGTGCTTAGGCTTGAGGTTTTTCTTTCTATTTCAGTTTTGTCTTTGTAACTCAGCACCTGGCACAGTGTATGGTACATAGTAGGTGCTTAATAAATGCTTATTGGTTGACTGATTATGTATTTGAGTACAAAATATATTTAAAGCAGCATCAGTTGCCTTAGGAGCACTTCCTCCCAGAAACCTTCTCTGACTTGTTTTAACCCCCTTGGATGCCTTCCTTGTTTGTGTCAATTAAACAGTCCATAAGCATTTATTAAGTACCTACTACACGCCCTGCACTGTGTTTGGCTCTAGGAATACAAAGACAAAAATGAAACCGTCCCTGCTGTCAGGGAGCTTGTGTCCTATTAGAGGAGACAACAAGGACATGTATTAGTACTTATAAAAGTGATACGAGATCAAGTTTGAGGGGGAATGCAGGTCTCAGCATTCCAGACCTAGAATGTGTGAAAACAAGGATCTCCACAGGGTTTAGCTGGAGTGACTAGAGCCCTAGACTTGGAGTCATGAAGCTGGAAACCTGGGCAGCTTACCTTACCTCTCTCGGCCTCAGTTTCCTCCCCTGAGCTTGCCGGGCTGCCATTGAGGATAGAATGAGATGAGAAGCATGTTGGAAGTGTGATGTATTTTTAAAGGACTATGGGAATGTTGCTGCTGCTGCAGGTGGCAGTAGTGGTCCAGAGAAAAGCATACCATAGGTGTAACTTCACAGATATTGACCCACTAGACAGACACATTCGTGAAACTTTATTTCATCAACCATTTGTTTCAGAATGATGCTTCTTGAGAATTGCCTGGTGGAAAAATGGAGAGACCAGCTGGGAAAAAGGTTTATAGTAAGTATGACCAACGGCCTTTTATCAGTGGTGTGGGGGTAGGGAAAGAGGCAGGGGATGGGAGAGTCTGTGTGTATGTTCCGAGCTTGTGAATTTGTGTGTGTAGTGTGTGTGGTGAGTGTTTGTGGGGGGTTGTAAATGGAGAAGTATGTGGTGGTGTAGGGGGGTTTATATGGATGGGGTGTATGTAGGTGTTGGGGGAGATGTAGTCACAGAGATATCTTATAGATTTTGGTGACTCTTCTATTTCCTTTGTTGCCTACCTGTGATAAGATCCTACCTTTGAGAGGCAGTATGACGTAACAGATAGAAAGCAGATGTCAAAATCAGGAATACTCTGCTTCACATCCCTAGTCTGACATGGATTAGTTCTGTCCCTAGTAGCTCAAACAGTACCCAGAGCACTATAGGGATAAGTTCTGGATGTGTGAATTCATTGGTATAATAAACTCCCAGGTAGAAAACTTTCTGCCACTGCTGGTCAGTATCTTCTCTGAAACTCGTCTGCTCCCAGACTTGGCTCAGTAATTTTCATAGGGTAGCATGACCAGCACATATTATCGGTGGGCTGGTTCCAAAGCTGGTTCTCTAACCACTCTACCCCACCCTCCTAGAATACTAACCACAAGAAATGTCTGTAGGAAGAAGTGGGGGGGGGGGGCAGCTAGGTGGCACAGTGAATAGAGCACCAGCCCTGGTGTCAGGAGGACCTGAGTTCAAATCCGGACTCAGACACTTAACATTTACTAGCTGTGTGACCTTGGGCAAGTCACTTAACCCCATTGCATAGCCAAAAAAAGAAAAAAAAAAAACGGAAGAGGTAAGGAGAGGGGCCAAGAGGCTATCACAGGCACATTCTGTGACTTCTTCTTTGTCGGACCTAAATCACCTGGCAGCTAATTGGGGGTTTTTGAGCTTCGAGCTTTTTAAAAATCTAGTTTCCTTCTTTCTTTTTAAAAACATATTGACTTATTTCAACAAACATTTATTAAGTGGTTAACTATATACACAACAGTGGCAGAATTCAAAGAGCTGTCCAACACTTCAGATTTGGCATTACAGAGAAAGGTCAAGGTCAAACGTGGGTACCTGGGTGGGTGAGACAGAAAATTATAAGGATGGCCCAGTATGTCAATGTTTGGGGCAAGGGTTCTTACTCTTTTCTGTGGCATGGACTGTTTTGACAGTCTAGTGAAGCTCATTTCAGCCCTTTTCAGATGAGGAATTTTGTGTTCATAATTCAAAGAAATGCTAAGTTTCAGTTAGAGGTTAGCGAAAATAAATATGTAATTTTTCCCAAGTTCCTAGACCCCCTGGCTTCTCTCCATGGATACTTTGGGGATCTGTGAAACTCAAGTTAAGAACCCCTGGTCTAGTGTGGCTTCCTAAGTGACAGTCTTTAGCGTAGTCCAAGAAACAGAAGTGCCCCCATTTATCCAAAGGTCAGTCTCCTGGCAACCTCAGCCATCTAGAACACAAGTGGTAAAACTGGAAATAAATGAAAAGGGTCTTTGAGCTGCAAAAAGGCTGGGGAAAAGGCCATGTTCTTGACTTTGTAGGAAAAGGAGAGCCACCCTCTGAGCAGTAACAGCCTCCATGCCTCTGTTTCCAAATTGTCTCTACAGCAGTGGGAAGAGAGGCTACAAGAGCAGCTTCGAACAACGCAGAAGCAGCCTGCTGGGCGCACCAGCCGCAGTGGCCCTCCCAAGCCCAAGGGAAAGTCCCAGGGTCCCCGGCCTGGGGGCCCTCAAAAGAACATCAAAGCCAGGAGTGCCCCCAAGCGACCAAAACCCCAGAGGGTGTGAGCGGACAGTTTCCCCATCAAAGACTTTCAGGCATGATGGGTCCCAAGCATCCTCGTGCCCAAGACCATGCACCCACCACCCTGCAAATGTGGCATGGCCTCTGTCCTCTGCAGATTGTGTTTCCTAGCACTTTACTATCCAAGGTTTGCTTTCTCATGCTTAGCCACTGCAAGTCATAGCTCCGGGTTGGCACCTGCATTGGTGTTTGAGGAGGATTTGAGCAGAAAGGCAAAGCTTCTCATCACCAAAGCAGCCACATAAATATTCTATCAGTTAGCATGTGATGGCTGAGACTGCAGCAGAAGGGCATTCCTATTGCTGGTGAGGATGGAGAGTGCATAGTGGAAGGACATTCCAGTCCCTGGTGAGGGCTCCATATTCGTGTGGTAAAAATGCCTCATATGCCAAACCCTTTAGTTTGTAAAATGTATCTTACTTCAGGCTGCCTTCTACAGTTAGGATTTTAACTGTAGTCTGTAAACATGACTGATGACTGCTTGTTTGCAAAAGAAGCAAGAAATAGGAAGGAATGATGCAATATTTCAAAGAGCTCTATAAGGTGTGGTGGGTTATTACTGTTTTCAATGTGTAATGAAATTGTCCCACAATTTTAAGAATCACAGCATTTCAGAGTGTAAAGAATGTCAGCTGCCATCTCATCAAACCGATATTCGAAAATCTCACCATAACATTCCCAAAAGGGGGTCATCTAGCCTGAAGATCTCCAATGAGGTGGGACCCCTCCCCCCACCTCCTGAAGCAACCCAGCCTACGTTGGAAAAACTCCAAGTGTTAGAAATGTTTTAACTATTCAAAGTAAGGTGTGATAGTTTGTTAGGGATAAGCAACCTGGCTTTCGAATCTAATTTTGGCCAAAAAACTCAGAGAGGAGGCTGGTGACTCATCTTGAGGCATCAGCAGGGATGTCTTGGAGTGAAATTCCACCTGAAGTGTTTGCTGCCTCTGAGGCCCAGGGCCGGGGATCTGTGCAGGGGTAGGGAAGACCCAAGGAAGTAAATTCAATTAAACCAATGTTTATTACACACCAAATGCGTGTGGGTTCCATAAACACCCATAGCAGAGCGACTGGAAAGTTTGTCTGAGTCTAGAAGGTTCTGTGTCATCTCTGACACATATTGGCTGTGTGACCCCAGAGTTACTCAACCTTTCAATGTTCTAGAAAACTCTATAAGATTTAAGTCTTAGAAAAGATGCTGATCTACATTGACAGAGGGAGCTCTTACCTGCATGAAATTAAAGATCCCGTCCAGAAAAAAAAAAGTGCCAGGCAGAGTAGTGGGCACTAGAAATACCAAGAGGGAAATGAAATAATTCCTGCTTTCAATGAGCTTATAAACAACCAGGATCTCTTGAATACCTGCAGTGGGTAAGGTTTGTGTCCCTGTAACATTCTTCCCCGAGTTATAAGGGCCAGACAATCTCCAATGAGGCTGGCTCCAGCTCCCTCCCCAGTCACTGTGAATGCCTCAGTAAACTAAGCCTGGCCGCCAGGCACCTGAAAAGAGGCAGCCCCACAGCGGTGATGTCAAGGCCAGATGGGATCTTTGCAACTCGGAAAGCTCACGGTGGCACCAGACCCTGCATGGGGCTGCTCTGTGCATAGCTGGCAGGAAGTATGCCTGTTCTCCATCCTCACCTCCCCCAGTGGAGAGGAAAGAGCCCTTAAAACACCTCATAGGATAATTTTAAAGAATCATTTGTGATAGTGTCTAAAGCGGGATTCAAACCCATATATCAACACAATGTAGTTACATAGTTTTTCAATGAAAATGCCCAAAAAGAGACAGACCCTCCCTGTGATCTTGATATACTGAAAGGAGGCTTTGGAGGACAGGGGAAGCAATGGTGTGACCCAGCAATGGAAAGTTGAATGTTTCAGGGAGGTGACAGTATAGCCACTAACCAGAGTAGGTGGGGTATGTCCTTTTTGGACCAGAATCTCTGAGCTGGAAAAAACTTCAATGGCTGTCTCACCCATACCATAGTTGAAAAAGAAGCCCCACCCACTCAAAAATACCCAACAAACCAGCAGCCAGTCCTCCAGTCTCTTCCCTGCTCATTGGCATAGAAGCTCCCAATGAGGGGATAGTTGGTCACCTTCTACCAGGGCAGACTACCTGCTCTGCTGCCCTGGAGAATCTCAAGGGCCTGAGAAGGGCCTTGCCCAGGACATCTGAGCTAGTATGTGTCACAGATGCCATGTGTCACCAGCTCATTTACTGCTCTTCAGCTGGCTGTCTTGGAAGTTAGGTGCCTGAGCCAGAATCACACAGCCAATATGTGTTACAGCTTAAACCCCAATCTTCCTGCTCCAAGGCCAGCTTTCTACTGCACCAGGCTGCCTCCCTGGGCAACATAATAGGAATTGTATATTATTGCTTAAGTATTTGCTTAAATATTTTATTCCTTTCTATTCCGTGAATCATAAATTACTGCTAAGGGGATTTAATATTTTAAAAGGGATGAATAAAGGGGAAAAGATGGACTGGACCCACTTGGGACTCTGCTATTGTCTATTACACACACACACACACACACACACACACACACACGCAAGAACTTTACATCAGTGGCATATCCCTTCAAGAGCTGCCTTTTTCCCCTCTCCTGTCAGTTTGATACAATGGGGATAATGGCACTGGATTTAAGGACACCTGGGCCTTCCTCCTAGCTCTGACACTAACTACTTTTATGGCCATGGCCAAGAAATGTTCCCTTCCCACCATGGGCCTCGCTTTCCCCATCTAAAAACTGAGGACACGGTCACCAGCTACTCCCCAACATGCCTCCCAGTTCTACAGTCTTCTCATTCTCTGAGCGTCCCTATTGTTTCTTTTTTCCTATTCCAAGGATACAAACCCTCAGGAATGTTCCACCATGCCATCATTTTCAGAATATATCTGAGCTGAGAACACTTCCTTTCCCCAAAATCCTCCATCTTATTCCCTTAGGGATAAGAAAAGCACATCATCTTTCTGTAGCTTTCCCAAACATTGGAAGCAAATAGGAACCCATGCCCAGTACACTGTTTAATACTGAGCTAGCTAGGGGCAGCTAGGTGGTGCAGTGGATAGAGCACCGGCCATGAAGTCAGGAGGACCTGAGTTCAAATCCAGCCTCAGACTAAACACTTGACACCTACTAGCTGTGTGACCCTGGGCAAGTCACTTAACCCCAATTGCCTAAAACAAATACTGAGCTAGCTTTAAAGCCTACCTGCTGTTTGCATTGCCTTATCTCCAGTCCCATTCCTTTGCAAAGATTGTCCCCCCCTCCCCCTGCCTCTGACCTCACCCCAGCCTTAGAGAATTTCTAGTTTTCTTCAGTGTTACTCCTTCAGGAAGTCTGTCCTAATCCCTCTAGTTGGGAGTGTTCTTGGGAGTGTTCCACTTCCCCCACCTCCATTACTTTCATTTACGCGTTTCCTTATCTACGTATAGGTGGGGGCTGGGCTGGTGCAGTTTTTTTTTTTTGTTCTCCCCAACCCTTGCCCATTGCTTGATTCTTAGTAATCATTTAATAAATGCTTATCGAATTGAGTACTCCTGGGAACATTTCTTCTGTTTCAGTACATCAAAGTAAATAAAATTGCAAGAGAACATTAGTCAGGCTCTCTGTTGAGTGGGAATCCTATATGGAGAAAAGACTCTTTGGGTAGATGACTTTGCAAAAGTTCTGGCCTCTGTATGACTGGTAGGTGTTCTATTTGTGGTAGAAACAGTTGGACAGCTGCAGGCTGCTGGACACAGTTTTAGAGGTGTAAGAGACCTCGGGGATCCTTGAGGAGACTGGAGCCTCGAGGGATAAAGTGACTTGTCCAGAGTCACACAGCAGCTAAAACTCTCTTTAAATGATCAGAGACCTTATGTAACTAAAGCTCCTTAGAGCAAAGGCACGACTGACCCTCTTTATTGGACCTCATAGTGGAGGCAGGGTGGAACAAGGCGGAGTGGGGGGGCTCAGAAGTCAGGATTCCTGGGTTCAGATGCCTCGGCAGATACTTCCTAGCTAGGTGAGGAGCATGGGCGATTAAGTCACATGACCTCTCCAAGCCTTAGCTTTCTGATGTGCAAAACTCCCTGGGTCTGTTTGTCAAGGACAAATGAGAGAAAGTTACAAGAGATACTCTGTGATTGTTACAGCAAGCACAGTATCAATCAACAGGCTTTTATTAATAGCCTTCTATGTATTAAGCACTGGGGATACAAAGAAACAGTACAGTCTGCCATGGAGCTTACATACTGGTTAGGGCAAACAGTATGTGTACGTAATAGTAGAAAAAAATATCTACAAATAACATTGTGAGCTAGTTTTAATTTGCAAGCTTGCTGTTGCCACTTTCTATAACTAAATCTTTATAAAGTCAGGCACAAACTAGAAACAAGGGGAAATAGTGAGTCTTTACTATTCTGCTTTAGAAAAATCTTGGAGTGAGGATTTTCCCAATGACACATTAAATAGACATCAAAGATAACATCTGATTGAAGTGTTGCCTTCAGGCTACATTCTGCTCTAGTTCACAAATTCTGCGAACATTTGTAAGGGCTGGCCACTGTCTAGGTGCTCCAACACAAAGAATAAAATGACCCAGTCCTTGTCTTTAAGGGGCTTCCATCCTATTAGTCCAGACCTATTCCACTGTCTCATCTAGTCCCGTGGACAGATGGGTCACCTTAGAGACCTCTGTCGTTCCTCACATCATGGACCCTAAGGTAGGTCCTGAATGACCCAGAGAACATCGTACTAGGACTCAACCTAGGACTCCCATGAGCTCATTCTATCACAGCCTTTTCTTTTTAATGGAGGGACTTCTAAAAGAGGCTTCCATTATACCTGGGATGGTCCTGCCTTCTTGGGCCCAAATCATTTTCCTTTCTGGCTATTTATCAAGTATATGTGATGTGTTGTCAATGTAAATAATGAGGCAAGACCAGATTTAGCAACTGTTTGCATAAATGGGTTGAGAGTGAGAAGTTGAGGGTGACTCTAGGGCTGAGAATATGAGAACTGATAGAATGGTAGTATCTTCAGAAAAAAAAGTGGGGGGGGAGTTTGGAAGAAAGGCTGATTTGCGGGGGTTGGGGGGGAGGTCCATTTTGGCTGTGTTCAATTTGAGATTCCTTCATAACATCAGATTAGAAATATCTGACCTGGTGTTGAAGAGAAAGATATAATGTAAGGGTCATATACATAAAAAAAAAGTTAATAATTGAACTCATGCTGGTGATGTTATTGAGAGAGAGGGTATGAAAGGGAAGAGAAAGGGGCCAAAACAGAACCTTGGAGACATCCATGGCTGAGGGACAGGAGATGGATGAACCAGCAAAAAAAAAAAAAAAAATGGGGGAATAATTAGATAGAGAGGAGACCCCTGAGGAGAGCTGCATTGCAAACTAGGGTAAAGGAATATTCAAGAGAAGGGCCTCATCAATAGAGTCAAATTCTACAAAGAGGTAAAAAAGGATTAGGATTGAGAAAAGGCCATTGGATCTAGCAGCTAGGAGATAAGTGGTAATCCTAGAGGGAATGATTCCTATTGAATGATAGAGTCCAATGGCATATTTCAAGATCCTGGGAAGTGACTGGGAAATGAAGATTTAGAGGTAATTAGTTTAGAAAGCTTTTTCTTTTTAAAATTTAATTTAATTTTTTTGGTTACATTTTATGTTCCAAACTGTCTCCCTCCCTCCCTCTTTTCCTCCCCACCCTGCACTAGAGAAGGCCACCATTTGACACAGAAACAGACAGACAGACAGACAGATACATGTAAGTAATATGCATACCTCTATTTATCAGTTCTCTCTCTGGAGGTGGATAGCATCTTCCTTCATAGGTCCTTTGTAGTTGCTCTGATTATTTATAACACTCAAAATAACTTAGTAATTCACAGTTATTCTTCAAACAATATTATTGTCACTATATTCAGTGTTCTCCTGGTTCTGCTTAATTATTTCATCCAAGTCTTCCCGTGATTTTCTAAAATCAACCTGCTCATCATTTCTTTTTTTTTTTAATTTTTTTT